GTTAATAAATTACCTTTATTTCATATATATATATATATATATATATATATATATACACTCTTTTTTCATGGCCCAGGACTTCTGCACATTACTGTATGTATTAAAAACTTGCTCATTATTTGCCATTAAGTACAGTAATAAATAGTATTCAGAGTAGCTATTACAAATGAACAACAACAAAACCTCACATACAAAGCATATGATTGGTTTCAGTGTGCTTACTACAGAGTAATTATATAATACAATCAAAAATAACCCCCTTTGGAGGCGAATTCAAAAATCTACTTTACCTTTTATAGATACAAAAACATATATAGTTGTCATATGAAATGAGTTCAGTCAATATACAACGTGTGTGACTGATTGAGGAGAGCATATGAGATTGTGACACGTTCACAAATCTTGTTCACTAATACTAGGAATAATCATGTTGTCAAACTCCACGTTCCTGACTGATAAAAACACCTCTGTGAATTAGAAAGCAATACCCTGTTTAGACGATTTGATTGTTAATTGTGTGTAAAGCTTACAATCTTTCATCCCGCTTTTTAATTTGTAGTGTATGGTCCACATGAGCATCCTCAGGTCTATGATCTTCATCGTTAACCTGCAGACAGAGGGACTGTGGAGCAGATGTCTAAGCTGCTAACAAACCTTTGAGACATGTATCAATTTGATGGCTGTCATTGCATGCTGGTCACTTCAAAGTGGAGATACAATAATAGTGAATGACACATGTGAACATCTGGGCAGAGGGATCACTGAGGTGTGTTTGGGCTCTGGACAGGTACGATCACATCAGGCTCGTGATTGTCAGTGATATCCAGATGGAGCTTCCTGGTGTTTTTAAGATCCATAATGAATACGCTTGAGCTTGAACGTCATTGCTGGGAGCATTCAGACTAAGACTCTTAACTATTTTTTCCCATTTTTTAATGATGTCAACTTATTAAAGTTTTGCCAGAATGGAGATTGTCCTGATTTGGAGACGTGGAATTCAACTAGATCTGACTGTGGAGTGTCATCGGAGAGCATGAAGGGTCCGTGAGATGAGGGGTCCGCCGGGGAGACGCACCTGCTCTGGCTCACACCTGCTCCGATCGGGTCAGAAGACAGAGACAGGAGATGTTTGAGACAGGACAAAAACACAGCCAACAGGACAGTGTCAATGCTCAAAGCAAAATAAGCAGTGCACAGCTATGATGAATCATGCTTCACGGCATACAGTACATCCCTTAAAATGCACCATGGTAACCAGCCACAGTTTCCACATACATATCATAGTTAATACAGTCACTGTTTTAAAAACAGGTACGTCTGCATTGATGACAGATTGGATAATACCAAGTTAGCCATTTTTTATTACAGACATATACACACATGTGTATAATGTATACAGTGGCCCCAAAAAGTCATATTTAAAGTCTGAACTGCATTAGATCCAAAATATGCTTTTCTCAGAACGGACTTCACTTTTCTGAGCCACTTTTTAGTAACCAACTGGTCTCTAGGTCATCAAGTGTCTAAATACTTTTTGGGGCCACTATATATAATATATTACAGTATAGAACTGTAGTAACTATGGTATTTTGGCAGAATTGACCATAGTCATGACAAAATTAAGAAATATGAACTATAGTCATAAGTACAATGATTCTATGCAATATAAAACATATTTAGTTTTTCCAACTACATGATATAAGCGAAAGTAATAAATATTAACACACACACACACACACACACACTCTCTCTCTCCCTCTCTCTCACACACACACACACACACACACACACACACACACTCTCTCTCACACACACACACACACACACACACACACTCTCTCTCTCTCTCTCACACACACACACACACACACAAACACACACTCTCTCTCTCACACACACACCACACAAACACAAACACACACACACACAAACACACACACACACACACAAAAACACACTCTCTCTCTCTCTCTTTCTCACACACACACACACACACAAACACAAACACAAACACAAACACAATAATCTCCATGGCATTTTGAAACACAATCTATCTTATTGCTTCAGTTTAGTTGTGTTGAGTATTCTGAGCATCTTAAAGGGATAGTTCACCCAAAAATAATAGTTCAATCAGTATTTACTCAATCTGTTCTAAAGCTGTATGATCGTTCTTTTCTGCAACACAAATGTTCTAGGCTTTTACATTATTGCATTATGAATTGAACAAAGAATTGATGTCAATCTCTGATGAAAACAAAATATATTAGCAATAAAATAAAGTATGAATAAAAAATAATAATGCACACAAATATTTAGTCATACAGACACTGCCAATCTATTTACACGTGTCTGAGTGTAACACAGCAGATTATTGTTTTACATGCTTTGTAAATGTGCCATTCATTATTCAGACATTCACACAGTTATTGAAGTGCAATAGTTATCAGTAGTTGTCCTAACAATTTTACCATCTGTGATATTTTAAAGACACAATGGCAAGAAATGTTACAAATGATATATATACAGTATATATATGGACAACCACGAGCAGGACATATTTTTTTTTATTATTTCTCCTTTTATCTTCTGAAAAAAAAGAAATTCATAAGGCCATACCAGTGTGAGAAAATAATGAATTAAAATTTTTGGATGAACTAAATATCTATGGATAATAGAGTCCTATTTTACAGATTTTACCAATATTCTTAGGGTTGGATTTTTTTTTTTAATAGTGTAATAATTGCTTTATTATAGTTGCATTTCAAATTCACTGCCATGGCATTTTGCAGAAAAACTAATTCTACTTTATGCGCTCATGAGAATACCTTTATCATTTTCATACCATGTGCATATAACATGGCCCTCTTTCTCAAGATGATATCTATCAATGAATCTGCAAATTCAAGAACACACTTCACCGTTTGTCAGTGAAGCATTGAGGATTCACAACAGAGTGTAAATATGACACGGAAATATTAATCTATAAAATATAAAGTATTCACTATAAACCAAAATGTACACTACATTCACGATAATTTCATGAAGAAAAAAGTGCATATATTAAGGGGCCAAACACAGGAGGTCCATTACATGAAAATTGAATGGGATGCAGCAATCGCTGCAATAATATTAGGAAAAATGGGTTCAACAGACAGGAGTAGAACAACTTATAACTTTTGACCAATAGGTGGTGCTGTTATGACATGTCAGACAGAAGTGAATATGTGCACAAAAATGGAAAAAAGCACAAATGAGACTACAGATGCTACTCAGATGCCAGTTTTATGCAACTGGCCACTGATGTTTTACTAAGTGTATCGTCCATATACAATCAAGCTTTATTTATAAATTAATTAATAATAACAGTTTCCTATTCGCCCCTGAATGGTTTTGGCCTATATACTGTGATCTTAATTATCTGTCTGTGCACCTTCAGTGCTTGGCCCCTAAAATATACTGCTATCATTAGAACATACAATCTGTACACTGTTTACACATTTTTACAGTACATAAATTAGACATCAATATCAATCAGCATGTACGTTTTATGTCTTTTCATTGTTGCTTATTTATTTATAACTTCTTTTAATGGCAGAATTATTCTGTGATTTCTCCCTGACGTCTCGTTGAAGAAGAATCCAGATTTGTAAAGATGAAGCACCTTTATAAATATATAACTAGCATATAACTCTGAGCATGACGAACAGCAGCAGTCACGAAGTGTAGAAACAACTTTTCCTTGAGATTTTGACATATAAGAGGTTATTATAAAAACATTCTTACACTTAAATTCACATTTAAGTTTAAAAACTCAAAACATCCAAAAAGAGCATTTGTTTATTTCAGTAGCATGAAAAACAGCTATTATTAGAGTTGTGATTCAATTCAGCAGTTAAAGAATAAGACATATTCGATTGTTGTGATTAAGACAAAGTACATCAAACATTTTGGGGGCTTTTGTGTCTTCATTTTAAAGGTGAACAGAATTGAGAAAGAACTTTTACAAAAGTATTTCATTACTATTACTGAGTCGACCTATTGTCACAACACTGAATCCTGTAGTTATCGCCCAAACAATGAGCCCAAGGAGAATACGCTTACACTGTCTACACCGGCTTGCAACAGTGAGAAGACAGGAGTTAAAATAGAAAAATGTTGAATTCACCTGGTATCGCTTTGTTGCCTCACCTTTCTGTTTGGCCACTTTACGCACCGTCATGGCAGCCTGTCGTTTCTGATATTCAGAAATCTCAAAACCTAAACAAAACCAGCAGCAGAAGCAGAAGATATGAGGGAGGGTCACAGAAAAAGCACTGTGTTCTGGTGCCATTAAGAACATATGCAATGATAAATACAATCAATGAATGAGAATTTATGGCAGTTTACCGATTTTTTCATCCTCTTGGACCATCCTGCGCTCCTCGTGAAAAGCCCTCAGCCAGCGGATCTTCTCCTCCGGTTTCTTGGCCAAGAAGACGTGGATCTCCTCGCTGTCTCTGTTGTGCAGCTTGAATGCATTTTTCACGCTGACATTAAAGTCGTCGTCCCGTCCATCGATGGCATCTCTCACCGTATAGCGATCCATGTCAATGCGCCCTTTGTAGTAAAGAATGTCCCGGCGGATCAGGTCCTGAGAACAGATGCAGTGAATCATTTGATTTACATATTATTACTGCAATGTTTAGACACTTTTATTGTCACTAGACTGGCTGGGTTAATAAAAAGTAAAACAACCATAGATCATACACGCTCGCTACTAACCCGCTAACCCAGACTCGTCACAATGAAAGCACCCAAACTCTATTTGTAATCTGAATGAAATATAGTAATGTGTAAACGATATGATCTGTGCCAGCAGAAACTCCAGCACAACTGGCAGATTTTGAAACGGACGCCTCTGTATGTGCCTCACAGCGATTAGCTTCCACCCACACCACATTCGAATGAAGTTGAGCATTTCTTTTGGACGCTCTCGGCTGCTTTCAGCACATTTCTCTGATCCGCTGTCAATCCCACAATTCCACGTGTGTGAGTGCATAGCCCAGTCAACACGTGAGATCATGCGATGATCACAGTGACATCACACGGTCCTCATACTGTGATCCTCATGGTGTGAGTAGTATATGAAATCATTGTGAGTTCACACGATCCTCATACTGTGATCCTCACGGTGTGAGTAGTATATGAAATCATTGTGAGTTCACACGATCCTCATACTGTGATCCTCACGGTGTGAGTAATAGGTGAAATCATTGTGAGTTCACACGATCCTCATACTGTGATCCTCACGGTGTGAGTAATACATGAGCTCATTATGAACTCAAACGATCCTCACACTGCGATCCTCATACTGTGATCCTCATGGTGTGAGTAATAGGTGAGCTCATTGTGAACTCAAACTATCCTCATACTGTGATCATCATGGTGTGAGTAGTATATGAAATCATTGTGAGTTCAAACGGTCCTCATACTGCGATCCTCACAGTGTGAGTAATATGTGAGCTCATTGTGAGTTCAAACGATCCTCGTACTCTGATCCTCACGGTGTGAGTAGTATGTGAGCTCATTGTGAGTTTCAAATTTTGAGCAGGTTGAGAGAAGGCAGTTCAAATATTAGTCACCGGGGATAAGATCATCTACATCTTGGTTAAGATTACTAAAAGTTTCGCACCTACAGCACACATTACATCCATTGATGCAGAAATGCAGATATGTTCTACATAACTAAAGTATATAGAGAGATAAACCTTATAAACTGCCTGATTTTGTGTAACAACTTAAAATATAATCTGCATATACAAAGCTCATGGTGACATCATTGTGAGATCAAATTGTTGACTGGGAGCTCGGCTCCCATCCGGATCAATTGAAAACGCCTGATTTCTCCGGAAGCCTCTGCAGACCATGAATTAAACCTTTCCTGCAATTTTATGCATCTTTATGCATCTGTAAGTCCCACATTTTTACATCAGCAGTAAGTAATGCCCGAACTTTTATGTTGCCTGAGTTTCACAATGCTCATTTATTTAACCATAAACTCTTGTGAATGGGCTTATGGCAGCTGGATGGAATAAAGAATTGCTTTATAGTTCAATATTGGTATTTTTCTTACACACATCTATCCTTAATGTCCTACTGTTTTTATCAAGACAATGAATGTTTGTGAAGTCCAGTGTTGTTTTGGACCCCAATGACTTTCACTGCATGGACAAAAACAGTTGGCACATTCTTCAAAATACACTTCTATTTGCAGTTTTGCAGAAGAAAGAAAGTCAAATGGGTTTGGAACAACATGATTGTAAGTAAATGACAGAATTTTCAATGTAGTGTGATTTTTTTTTTATATTCATTGTGATTTATTTAAATTTTGTGACAGTTTTTATTTTATAAAAACAATAATAAAATAAGATGCAAAAAGAAAAAAGATGCAATTTTAAGGATGTGGTGAAAGAATGCTGATGGAGCAAAGCTATGTTGGAAAGTATAAATATGGGAAAAACAAGGACAAAATATATCTCACTCTCTCACTTAGGGCAAAAATCTAAAAGATTTCTAAATACTTTATCTGTTGTAGACAAAAAAGTAAGGAAAAAGATCCTCTAGGCAGATTTGTACTGACATATTTTATGTTGTCTTGTCATTTTGGAGATTTAATAGAGCGTGAGACAGAAAAATTGTGTATCTGAAATGTGTGAGAGCTGCCAACTGTACTCTGTCCAACTGGATTTACCTGTAAAAGATCTGCAGCTGGTTGGTTGGCCTCTGCTGGCAGCTATAGTCACTATTCATTTCCAAATGTCTATTTTGTGCTATTTCAGAGTTATTTTAATGAAGATACAGTTTGTATCCAAGAATACAACTCTACACACTCTGGACATTCTGACAACCAACTTCATGAGGGTTTTTGGGAAAGGTTTGCTGGACACTTGCTGGTTGTTTGTAATTAACTATCTGGCCCAACTTAAGTATTAAAAAAAAACAAAAAAACATTTCAAACAAGTTTAAGAAGTTAAAGAAATACATCAACTCAATAAAACCTTTTGTTAGAGCAACTTTCCGTACACTACATTCCTACAACTTGTGGGATGGTGCTAATTTTTTCTAATTTATTGTCAGGTTTAGAGATCCAAATCTGGCAATATAAAATAAGGAATGCTTATGAATTTAAAGTGCCCCTATTATGCCATTTTTAAGGTTCCTAAGATTGTTTTGGGAGTCTCCTACAATAGGTTTACATGCATGCAAGGTCAAAAAACGCTTCCGCTTTCTCAAAATATGCATTTGATATCACCTCATTTTCCAGCGATTCGTTCGAAGCAGTTCTGAGATTCAGTCTCTCTAAACCCCGCCTTTCCGTGAGCCTGCTCTGCTCTGATTGGTCAGATGGCCCAGTCTGTTGTGATTGGTCTACTGCGTACTGCGCGTGTCGGAAACGATTCGTCCATTGCCATAGTTGCGTATTTTGAACGCTCGAAAGAAAATATAAACATCTATTATTTATCATACTTACAATTGTGATTCAGTGGAGTCAGCTGGTCCAAATAAACTGTGCATTGATTCATCTTTCAAGAGCAAGTGTTTGTGAATCCCGCGTCGAACTCCACGAGGTTTAGAGAAGCAGTCGTCAGTAAAATGGCAGGAACTCAAAAAAAGACTGGGGTTGCACTGCTGTGAATTTTAACCACTGATTCTCTGCACTCTCATCTTTCGGAAGTGAAAATAAAGCGAATTTTCTTTCACAGCGTCTTCTCGACATGATCAAGCTGCAGTGTTTGAGGGCAGGTCAAGACTCCTTTTTTTGTCTCTAAATAAAGACAATAACTTTATTTATCGTCTATAGATCGTTTACATTCACATACAGCTACACACTGCATGAAAGGCAATATTCATAATGGCATAATAGGGGCACTTTAATATAGGTTTGGGAGCATTTTTATGATCAGTGTTTACACTTTTATTTATTTCTTACATCTCCATGCTGACCATCTCAAACCCTTTTTTGAGGAAATACAATATATTTCATAAAGATCACGTACCTTTTTGCACAGGACCAGCTGATGATCGAAAAGGAAGAAGACTCTCTGCTGACTCCTGCCATAAGGCTGATAGATCCACGACATCTCACCCGTGTAGATCAGCTCTGAACTTCTGTCCAGAATATCATCACCCTAATGTGAACAAAATAGTCTGGAGTCAAGGCAGACGAACTAGGATTGGCAGCAGCCTAAAGAAGATTTTATTAATGAACTATTTGTGACCGTGGAGCACAAAACCAGTCATAAGGGTCAATTTTTTGAAATTGAGATTTATACATAATCTGAATAGATAAGCTTTCCATTGATGTATGGTATTGTTAGGATAGGACAATATTTGGCTGAGATACAACTATTTGAAAATCTGGAATCTGAGGGTGTAAAAAAATCAAAATATTGAGAAAATCATCTTTAAAGTTGTCCAAATGAAGTTCTTAGCAATGCATATTACTAATCAAAAATTAAGTTTTGATATTTACGGTAGGAAATTAACTAAATATCTTCATGAAACATGATCTTTCCTTAATATCCTAATGATATTTGGCATAAAAGAAAAATCAATAATTTTGACCCATACAACGTATTTTTGGCTATTGCTACAAATATACCCCAGCGACTTAAGACTGCTTTTGTGTTTGTGCTCCAGGATCACATTTTAAGAATTCAGCTTTTAAAGAAATAAAAACATTATTTAAAAGCTGAATTATTAAACAAACAAAAAGAATCCAGGCTGCTAACAAATATGAGGCACGATGTGGAGGACTCGAGAATAAATGTGTCTAAAGATCTCTCTTGCACTTTGTTCATGTCCAGATGTACAATGACATCCGAATACAAAGTGTGTGTGACTGAATGTGAGCCACTAACTGTACATAACTTCATGAAATCCACAAATATTATTCAAACACACCTCCCAGTCCAGCACTGAGGCCTGCCACTGAGCGATCTTGTCAATGTTCTCCAGTCTTCTTTTGCGCTCGTTGATTTGCTGCGTGACGTTCCTCATGACAGCGAGCGCTGCTGCCACATAACGGTAATCACTGTGAGAGAAAAAACACCCACAGACTATAATTAAATACATAAAATGTGGTCACAATTATAGACAAACACAATCTAACTAATATATTATGACACACACTTTCAAAATTGTATTTCAGTGAGTGATCAATTGACAAGTGAACCTCTGTGTAACAACTCGATGTTAATATTTTCACTATTAGGAGATGAGACTGTAAGTAAATGTATTTATTTATTGGCAAAGGGTTTTTTGGCAAAAATGCACAATGTTTTGTTGAGAGGAAAATGATGGGTGGAGGTTTTGCTGCTAAAAAAGGACCTACAGTTACTACATTCAAGGGTTCATTTACTTTGTATTCAATATATTTAATAATAAAATGTGTGAAAAGTACAACGTGACTGTGTCATTAGTGTAGTTAGATTGCCTTTGTCTTTAATTGTGAGTTAAATTTAGAGCACATTTTATGAGCAACCATTGCTGAAATCAAATTATTTTCAAAGGGTTCACAAACTTATTATCGCCATTGTGTATATATATATCTTACTGCCTACAGATATCTGTTTGCTTCTGTTTCTGTAACATTCTGCTTCAGCCTGTACATTAGCTTCAGATCTCTAGACCGGGGATGTCCAAACTTGGCCCTGGAGGGCCAGTGTCTGCAGAGTTTAGCTCCAACCCTAATCAAACACCAATAATCAACCCTAATCTTCCAGGCAGATGTATTGAGGCAAGTTGGAGCTAAACTCTTACTTGTGTTCAGCACAAGAAAGAAACTCATTCAGGTTTAAAACTACTTGAGAGTGAGTAAATGATAACAGAATTTTCATTTTTGCAGAATTTTTGCAGCAGTTTTCAGCAGTTTGGACTTGAATAAAAGAGAGAAAACCTGCACTTAAGCTTTTCACGAGCATTTTGTTTTCATAGTTAGACAGATTTCGTGAGGTATCATTATAGGATTGTCTAGCAATATATTGATAATCGCAGAATTGCTGTATCGTGATATGATCGGTATCGTTAGCCATGTATCGTATCGTATCGTATCGTGAGGAACCCTGTGATTCCCACCCCTACTAGACAGTGTTTTTTTGTGGTTTTTGCATGTGTTTGGGTGTGTTACCTATGATCCTGTCCTGTGTACTTCAGTAACTCGGCCAGCTGTAGTGGATATTTGCAGATCTTCTGCACAGGGGTGAGGAGGAAGCCATCAATGGCGATGTCAATCATCTGCTGGAGGAGGCGACAGGCTTCAAAAAAGTGCTGATAGCGGCCGTCTTTCATCAGCTTAGAGAGCTCCATGCAGGCATCCAGGTGGTTGTTGCAGTACTCTGAATAGATCCAGAAACCGTCTTGCTGTAAGGCAGACAGTCATTAAAGTCAGAACTGAAGCAAACTTGAAACATGCATTTCATTTTAAGGTTTTCAGGAATCAGCTTAAAAGTTTTAATAGCTAATCAGTACCCAACCATTATGGACTGTCTTGAAATTTTCTAGATGTATTATGAAGGAGCTTGTCGGTACAGCTAAAAATGTCTATAATTTGAAATAAGCAGTAGATGATGTTAATGCCAAGTCATAAGGCAATGTACTCACATGTTCCAGAAAACATGGACCAATTTCACTAAGATGGGGTTCATCAATGTTGTACTGTTTCTCCAAGTCCCGCACAAATCCCATTTGAAATCTGTATATATCCTCGATGTTTCCAAAAATCACTTTTAGCTGGTCATCATTGAACATGTCAATCCTCTTTCGACACTGCCTCAAGTAGCCCTACAGAGAGAAACTCCTTCAGTTTGGTATGCTGCAAGCGATGTCCACCACAGACCAACAGTTCTCTGAAACTCATTCTTCTTTAGACACTGTGCACTGCATGACTGCAACCATGTCAAATAACAGCATGCAAGTAATCTGCATGAATAATTTTGATTCCAGACTTTGCTTAACAAAGGAAATCTAGTCCCCCCTTGAAAGTCCTTTCCATTTAACATGCAACCTTCAAAAAGTTCATGAAAACATTGCAAAATACATCTTTGAGCAATTTATTCCAAGAAGTCTGAAGAGACACAGTCACTTTATATGATAAACTGATTTCATTTAGACTTTTCACATAAATGGTGCTGCAAACTCCAACATGATTTTTAAGACAGATCTGTACTCTTGACCCTATCCCGAAAGTTGTTCTTAAGGAGTGTTTGCCATCAATAAGTCCCCTCATATTGAACATTGTGAACACCTCCCTTACTACTGGTATTGTTAAGGTTGCAGCTATTACACCAGTCCTTAAAAAGCCTGGATGTGGTAAGTTGGATCTATAAAATTACAGGTATTTCAAATCTGTCCTTTCTCGTTGCGACACAACTTCATTGACATGCTTGTTATTCAACAAGTTTTTTGAGCCTTTCCAATCTGGGTTTAGAAAGGGACACAATACAGAGACTGCCTTGGTTCGCATTATGAATGACCTGCTTGTCTCAGCTGACTCTGGACCCTCTACCATCTTGGTGTTGTTAGATCTGAGTGCAGCATTTGGCATAGTGTGCCACTCCATTCTGCTTAATAGACATGAGAGTTGGCTTGGTATCTCTGGTACTGTGCTTAAATGCTTACATTTTTAAATCCTACCTTACTGATTATTCCCAGTTTGTTGTTGTAGGAAACAATCAAATCGGACAGGTCTGTCATGGTGTTCCTCAGGGATCTATTTTGGGCCCTTAATTATTTAGCATTTATATGCTTCCTTTGGCAAAATTATTAGGATTATTATTAATCATTATTAATCAGATTTACATCAGTTCTAAGTCCAATATCAATGTCACCTCCAAAATTCTTTCTGAGTGTGTGCAGGAAATAAAAATGTGGATGCATCATGATTTTCTAAAATTGAGCTGTTCAAAGACCACAAGCAGCTATTCATAAAGGTAGCAGTTTTAATTTGAGTATGGACAATAGTACCATAGCTCCATTTACTCCATTTGCTCATAACCTCTGTGTGATTTCCGATGCCCATCTGACATTAGATTCACACATTAAGATTATCACAAAATCTGCATCACCTTAGAAACATTGCTAGAATTAGGCCTTTCCTCAGACTGCCTGATGCTGAAAGGCTTGTTCACGCATTTGTTACTTCCAGGATTGATTATTGTAATGTGTTATTTGTTGGTCTACCTGCTAAATCTATCAAATGGCTACAATATATCCAGAATTCAGCAGCACATGCTCACTTATATGCCATCTCGTCAGCATATCACTGGCATTCTTTTTAGTCTGCATTGGCTGCCTATTTAGTCACGCATTGATTTTAAAACTCTCACTTTAACTTACAAAGCTGTGCATGGAATGGCTCCTTCTTATATCTGTGACTTAGTTACCATTTACCTGCCTTCTCATTCTCTTCGTTCTGCTGATTCTTTTACTCTTACTGCTAGAAATGCTCCCACATTGGACAGTTTTAAGAAGTTGTTAAAAACCCATCTTTTTAAAAATGCCTACATAGATTGAGATGATTAGTATTTTATTGTATTGGTTAGCTGTACTGTATATTATTGATTTATTGCTTTGTATTGCAACAGAATTTTTGTATTTTATTTGTTTTATTTTTAACCGTTTGTAGCGCTTTTGGTATAAGAAAAGCGCATTCTATTATTATTATAAACATTTATAAACTCAAATTCAACAGCTCATCAAATATGGTAACTGAAAGTTTAATCATGCTTGCTTAACATGTAAAAACCAACCAATAAAACCAGTTTATTCTGTGTGTCAAGCAGTTACAGTTTGTTTACCATATTTGATATATGGGTGATATATTAGGTTTTTTGCTCAACTGTCCCTTTAATCTCTCCACGGTACCAAGAGGCCACCAATCACAATCATCTGATACTGTCAGCACAGCAGTACCTCACATATGTCCTTCAGGTGTTTGATGTAGTGGCGCTCGGTGCTCATGATCTCGTTGATGACGTTGGCCCTCATCTGGTCTCGGTTCTGCAGTGGTTGGCCGATGCACAGGCAGCCGTTGCCGGGGTTGGTGTGTCCATTCTGCACCTCGCTGGCACCCTCAGCTGATTCTGCACGATCCTGATTAACCCAGAGCTAACAGGAAAAGGCAGAGAGACACATTATATCTCCAAGCTGTGAGTTTTGCAAAGGGGAACAGGTTTGAGCCCTAATTCTCACTAGGGTAAAGATAGACAAAGATAGAAGTCCATGCAATTAAAGATTCCATAGTTACAAAAATACTAAGTCATTTCTCTACAGAATTCCATTGGAGATAGTTGTTCTTTAACCATTTGAGTGGACACTTCTCATTCCAAATGTGTGATGAGCTGGAGTCTTGCTCTCATGTTCTTGGTAATAAGACAAAAAATTCTGCCTTTGATCTGGGTCTCATCTTATGGTTTCAGACAAGACTGCATTATGCTGCAAGGTGGCACAGGAGATGCTTCTGAAGTGGCATATATGCAGTTCAAATGGACTTTTCATGTTTTAATGGGGAACAGAAATCTAATGGTGGCATAAATCCATTTACATAGGAATCACAATTTGGGGAAACAAAGAATCACACTCTTGAATGTTACATGAGATAATGTCTTCAGGGTTGTTTCCATGGTGGGTCAGTCCCAGTATATTTTGCGGTTTTGTACATCACTTTTTTTTTTTTTTAAGTAACTTTGATAACATTATAGAGTAAATTCAAAAACTAGTGTGGTATTTTTATTTGTTAGTTCAAAGTAAAAAAAAATAAATACTGTGAAACAGTGGGAAAAAAAGAAATATGTATGAAACTTTCTTTCATTTTATGTTTGTTAGGAAAACATGTTTTTGGTGTAATGACAGAAATACACTTGGTTTTAGTGTACTCTCGCTGTGGAAGAATAGAAATGGAACAGTGAGATGGAAGTGGCTTGGCAACACTGATTCAACACGGACTGCGTTCTTTCCGAAGTCCAGACGGACGCATCTAATCAGGATCTGTGTCCAAGACCTTGTTTCATCACCTGAGACCAAATAAAAGGCAACGTAAAAAGATTTTTGTTTTAGGAAAACAATTGGAAACATTGAAAATAAATGAATTTTAAATTAATGGTGGAGAAAAAAACCCCAAATACAATCATTTTATCGATTTCTGATGCGTGTTTGAGTCGTCCAAGACCTCGTTTCGTCACCTGAGACCTTGAGCCGCATCACAGTTCAATGATAAGATCTAGGAGCTTATTAGATGAGATGAGAGAGTTCATCAAAGAGGTGGCTGAAACGTACCCTCACGAAGCTGGCGGGGAACCAGCCCTCCTCGTCATCCATCTGACCCCACCACCAGTCTTTATTGGAGGCGTCCAGGACCTTGATGACATCTCCCGCCTTGAACGCCAGCTCCCTCTCGGCCATCGTCACGTGATCCCATACTGCCTCTGCACTGACCACCGAACCGCCGCTGATCAACTGTAGAAAAACACAATGAGCCTGATGGAGAAGCGGTCATGCTTTCACACACACACGACATGTTTCGAAGCACACTTCCATTGGTTACACATCTGTCATTGGTCAGAAAACATCTGACTCGTGCCACAGGTTGAGCCAGTGCTGCTGCAGTATGTTGGGCTGATGCTCAAACAAACACAGCTCAATCTTTTAAAAGCTTTAGAGAGAGAATAATGCCCCTTAATTCTGGTCAGAAAAGAATGGGCAAAAATTTGACCTACTGTAGGGCTACAACAGTTTTTCACCCTCAAAAGTACGGCTCTGTGCCTTATGTACCCTACAGAGATTCATTTTAGTCCCATATTTTCTTAAAGCTGCCTTATGCAGGATTTTCAGTAACTGTTTTAACACAACGGTCAAACTCGGCCCCTCCGCATGGGTGGGCTCAACACAGCCAAAAGACACGATATCAGTAGCCATGGGTGTTTTGCAAACACTTTTTCAAATATTGTGTTTATCATACATGAATGCATATAAACAGTTATACTTATAATTAGATGACTGGCTGTAATTTGCAATTGAGTTAGGGATTATTTTTGTATGAGTTTAAACTTTATTTGGGGGGGGGGGACCTGCATAGTGCACCTTTAAGGCATATAATATGCACTCTTCAGGAGTAGATAAAGCACAAAGGTGTAGCTACTGTGAGTGTAGTGTGCAGTGAGCAGCTAAAGATACCATTCGTAATATCTCCCCTTATTTAAACACTTGATTCAATCCATCATGCAAATAACTAATCATGAAAGGTGTTGAATCCACAGCACTATATTTCCATCTACTCGCGCTGCGTCAGAGGTTTCTATTTTCAGCGTGTTTTTGCAGCACAAGCCGCAAGTGTAAAAGCAGCCGCAGATAAGGGCAGGCAACACTGCTGCAATAAACAGCTATACACAAATAAAAGACAACTAAAATCATACTGTTTATACCCAGTGTGTTGTGGGACCCAGAATGCTAACTGAGAACTGCTGTCTTTGATCATCTTCGCAGGGATTAGAGAAATAGAAACTGGAATACGGTTGGAGGAGGAGGAGGAGGGATGCTGGAGGAGTTTGTCACAGAAAAGTGTGTGTGCTTGTTTATAAACTCCTATTAAATGACTGACAGGACTGGATGAACAGGCTCCTCTTGAAATCACATTTACTGTATTTCAATACATTTGATTTATTTTTCACAGGCCCTGTGACTATAAATGTTATTTAATCAAACAAAGAACCATACGACCAAAACGAGCCTCAACCACGTGTTCCTGCAGTGATTCACAGGCTTATTTATAGTCATGCAATACAACCGTTTCTAGTCCTCTGTGGCATGTATTGGAGCAGGTAATTCTTATGAAAAACACGGTCACACTAGACTTTGAGCATGCAAAATATATAAAGACATACAGTTTATGGTGTGCATAATTTTACATATGACACATCTAAAATGTTATCAACGTACTTCACTGCAGTCCTCCCGATCTAAAGTTTGAGTTCTTTTAATTCAGCTAAGAGGCCACAGCGATCTTCTATTGGTCACGTGATCATGTGATCCAAATTCACAGGTCAGAGTTCTCCAAACTTGAACTCTGGGACGCAGCGAAATTCACCTGAGCTTGTGTTTCTCTCACGTTCACATGCATATGAATGGAAGTCAGTGGAAGGAAAAGTATAGTGTGGCCGGCTCTTAAAACTCACCATTCTCACCACCTCATCAAACCACTTCCAAGTCTTTTTTTTTTACTTAGTGTAGTGCTTCATACAGAAAATGAAGCTTGAGTCTGTCAAGATCTCTCCAGATGAAATCTGATGTCTTTAAGACAGCTTTCTTTCCCTAATCAAGCCACTCGTGTGATACAAGCGGCGAAACACTAAGCAGGAGGCTTCCTGATTGGCTGTTTGTACAGTCTATGCTCCTCTGAGAGTGTCATGAATGAGTGCCGTCAGTGCGTTTGTCGATGGCTGCAGCCACAGGTTCAGCACTCAGACTCCATCGGCAAACGCCACAAGCTTTCTCTGGGCTGAGACTGCAAACATCACAAGCTGAAGAGCTACAGGGAGATCAGAAACACACACTCCATTTCCGCGATCCATTTGCTTCATATTTTGAGAAGGCTGCATATAACCATAATTGTCAGGATGATTAGTGCCAATAAATAGCCTCTCGAGCACTTTCCGACTGTTCTGGGAACATAAATCATTAAAAATACAGAATAACTCTGTGGCCAGATCATAATGTTAAGACACCTTGAAAGTCATCTCTCATTAGAGTCCCAGGGTTCTGTGAATGTAAAGGAATTATTGTTACATAATGGACCGCTGTTCCCCTCATGTTTCTGCACACAGTATGTCTTGAGATGAATGCATTCGACTCAGCACCAAGTGCGTATGGAAGCACAAAGATGTCAAAACTCACAAGAAGAATGAGAGACACCTCTATTTATCATTTCACATCAATGTGCTCTACTTACTGTCAGATTCGAGGGGAACATTCAAATATGCCGTGTCAATAATACTAAAGCTGACTGAAGCGAACTTCTTAAAGGGGTCATATGATGCTATTTTAAAGATCATTATTTTGTGTATTTGGTGTAACAGAATATGTTGACATGCTTTAATGTTCAAAAAACACATTATTTTTCAAATACTGTACATTATTGTAGGTCCTCTATGCCCCGCCTCTCTCAAACGCTTCGTTTTC